TTCACACAGTGTAGTTTCCTCAAAGTTAAACTTTTCTACTTCAATTTTCTAAAACCTAGCCAGATTTGTTTTATGGAAGAATAAGAAAAGGATTTTCTAGAGCTTTTTTGATGGGCATTTTAGGTTTCTATGGGGCCACGTCTGTTTTTTAAACCATGTAACTAACCTCTTGATAGATAATTGTTTTAAGCTTTTATAGAGATTACGGTAAACAACTGACTTGGCACTTAAATGACATTTGCTGTATTGTTTTAGTCGCACAAGAATGAAGCCAAAAGCTAGGTTGAAGTTTCCTTGATCTCCACTAAATTCTTTACTCATTGAGAACTTGAAATTATATGGTACAGTGGAAATGCAGAAGTATCCACACTATTTGGAAGAAGGCAGTGCTAACTGAAAACATACTTAAGAATTCTAGTGAAAACAATAATAAAAATTCCTGAGTACATCTTCATGGAAAGGAATCTAGGTAGGAAGTCATAAACAAATCTATCAAAAAAGCACTCATTTTGGGAGCGTGGCTATGCTGTATTGAGGGAGAAAAGTTGAGCATAGTAGTATTGGCTTGTGAGGGGCCGAGACTTTGAGAGGCTCACACTTTACTAACTCTAGGTAACAGAAAAATAAATGCCCTGGCTACAAAAATGTCTCTGAAAAGATAAAGGTGAGCAATAGGTATTTTCTAAATACCTAAAAGTTTGTGGACAGGCATAATAAGAAATTTCCTCGTCTCTATTTTGCTTTGAAATGGTACTGTATTTAATGATAGGTGCAAAGGAGCAGAATAGATAGGTTGGTGCTTCTGTTGAGTTGTTTTCTAGGTAGAAGAATCATCAGGGTATTACATCTTAAGTAACTGTTCATGAAACTGACCCATGACAGAAAATAAAACTCAAAAAACCATAATAATAGACTCTTAGAATGAAAGCTAAACTAAGATACTTAGGTGAATTTTGAGTATATTGACTTTTTTATTGGTCCTACCAGATAGTGCAGATTGATATGATTTCAGCAAAATTAAAAATTTGATGGAGAATATTAGAGGAAAATGATCATAGGCCATTTTTGTAGCTAATATCAATCTCTTCTGAAGACCAGGAAACAGAATTCTTCAGTACCAAATCATTTAAACTTGGTCCAATCGCTTAAATTTGAGTTCTAGTTCTACTAGTTACTAGTTTTACATCCTAGAAGAATACTTTGCATTTGATCTACAGTTTCTTTACATTTAAAACTGAGATGAAAATACATATTTCAGACAATGGCTTTAAAGATATTTTGCATGTAAACAGCAAACAACTGCAATAAATACCAAACACTTAATAGCCTTTTACAGACACATACCATCTTAGCCAAAGTCTTAAATAGATGTGTTTTATAACTTTGAACTTTTCACATTATCAATAGGCAACATGACTTACATATCACAGGATTGTGCTATCTAATGCATATCTTGTTTAAAATGTTATAATGCTATAACACATAAAGTTTGATAAAATAGAACAATCCTTCTGAAATAAAGCACTAAATTAAGTTTAAGACCATAAATTGGTTTACATGAACTTGCAGCATTATTTTCTCTATCAGATGAATTTCTCAAATATATACACTCCTGTCTGTCCAAATATATACACTTCTGTCCTCCCAAAAAGCATGGGATAAGCATATTTAAAGAGAGGGTGGTTCTTTGGGGGGGTTAATGTCAATGTGTATTTCATTGTAATTGATTTTAAAATTTAAACATTCACCATATTTTCACTCACATCTCATGTGTATAGCATGATCTAGAAGTGCTTTAATGTGGAACATTTAGAATTTATTTTTTACAAATCTTGTCTCCATGTAGACAAATATACCCAGAAATGAGTTTTCACATTAGGAGCCCCAGTCTATCATGTTAAAGTGTACTTCAGTTCTGAATACAAAAATTAATACTTACTTGTATACTTAGATGATATTTAATTTTTTCCCCTGTGGGCCACATGTGCTAAGCATGAATAACATTGACAATATTACTTCACTGAACATTCAGTGCCTACCTATATATTAGGGTTTTAGAGTTGAGGGTGTAGTTCAGTGACAGAGTCTCCCTGAATCTTATCTTCAACTCAAATAAACAGAAACTAAAATTGTATGGTCAGTTTATGGTACTGACTTAGCATCTGTGCTGAGTGTCTTTACTTTTATGCTCCTTTTAAGTGGGACTTCTCCTGGACTGGATTTTTCTCACTAACATACCTTACTAACTTTCCCCTCACAATTATTTTCTGCTTTCACTCTTCCTTGCTCAGCCAATTCCACCATGAGCATCTGGATCTCTCCCGATCCTCCCTAGTTTCTCTGGTCTTTCAGTAAGTGGAGATTCTGGATAAAAAGCAAGTGTTCTGGCAAAGGAGGAAGGAAATCCTATTTCACAGATGTAATGAAGCTCAAAGTTTTAATTATAAAGCATTTCATAAAATACAGATGGCATTTTCTGAAACAAGTGGAAAACATTTGTTAGATCCCTATTTCAAGTCATAAATATCAGAAAGATTGTTAAAGATCATGATGAAGAAGATAATAGGACCATGTGAAGTTGAAGGTGCCAGCTGAAATTTTACCAGAGATAATTTTATTGCATGCTTGAGAGAAAGCTAGAAATAGCAATTCTGAACAGAACAGGAGAATTTAAATTTAAGAAGACAGAAAGAAGAGGATAATAATAGAGGGAGGTGATGGACTTATGCCAGGCATCCTTAGACACAGATTGAGTCTAATCCCCGGGCTTTAGCCAAGAGGAACTTGGTTTGTTATTGTTATGATTTCATGAATAAAATCTTCAGCATCTGTATTTACAGTGTGTGATGTTTAGTAGTTTTAAAATGCCAACAATGAGAGTTCTAGTACAAAATACAGATGGTTAAAAATCACATACACAGAGGTGATTTTTTTCCTTATTGTAGATAATAATGCATCTGATTCATGTATACTTCTCTTATTATATTCTAACCCTAACAAATACTGCCGTTCTTTTAATTTATTCATTACTTAGAATTTTATGCAAAATTTTGTCTTTGAGTTCTTTTTCTTATGTTACATTTGATCATTTGATCTGTCAATTCCCTTCTTGCTATCTTCCCTCTTTTTTTTTTTCTTTTTTTTTTTTGGTACCTGGAATTAAACTCAAATCCTTGCACTTGCGAGGCAGGTGGTGGTGGAAACACGGAGCTAAATCTCCGGCCATTTTTTCTTTCTTGCTATATAACAAGATTTGAGTTCTGATTTCTCTTTGGATACAGATATAATGCAAGAAATTTCATGGAACTTTTAAAAACTATGTAATGGAATTGTGTAAGATAAATGAAACAAACTAACTAAAATATTAATCTGTACTCAAAATGTAATTGGGTAAACCATGATAATTTTATAAATACTATAGTGTTTTATTTAAAAATAAAAATCTTTTTCAGAATAGTATCTGATATGAAGTATATTCAAAGTTCAAATCAAAGCCATGATTAGATATCATGTCATCCCAATTATAATGACAACTATCAGCAAAAAATATAATAAATATTTGCAAGAATATAGAGAAAATGGAAACTCTTATACATTGTTTTAGAGATGTAAATTAGTAAAACTACCATAGAAAGCAGTGTGGAGGATCCTTAAAAAACTAAAGAGAAAGCTACCATGTAATCCAGCTGTCCCTTTTGTGGTTGTATACCCAAAGGAGATGAAATCAACCTGCTTAAAAAGTATTAATGGATTCATGGTTATGAGCACTGCTTACAATAGGTAAGGCATATGGCATGTATACAATGGAGTGCTTTCAAACCATGGATGGATAAATAAAATAATGTCTATATGTTATATATTATGTGGACATGATATATATCATAAGCAATAATGCTAAAGAGAAAATATACATATATATATATATATATATATATATCCAATAATGGTAAGCAGAACCAGTTTATTCACAGTAGTCAAAAGGTTGAAAGACCCAATTGACCATTTATTAGTGAAGAAATAAATAAAGTATTGTGTATACATGCTCAGCACATTATTTAGCATAATATAGGGATGAAGCAGTGATTTTTTCTACAACTTAGCTGAGTCTCAGAAATATGCTGTGTGACAAAAGTCAGTGACAAAAGACTGAATACGTTATGATTCAATTTCTATGAAATATACAGAAAAATTTATTCATACACAGAGAAATTAGAGTAATGATTAATTAAGAGAGAGAACTAAGTAGAGCACATTTAGTATTAATTGATAAAATAGTTAAAAATTATGGTAGTTGCATAAGTGAATATACTGAAAACCATTGATTGTAAACTTTAAATGAATTTAGTATATATAATGTCCATAAGGCTTTTATTTTTATAAAAAATCAGCTACTATAGTCTTTGTATTAGCATCTATCAAAGAGTTTTATTAAAGAAATGATTGTGCAAATGTTAACAACAGCAAATTAAAAATGAAAATGCAGCATCTCAGTTCTTACCATGATACACTCAGCCAACCCCAAGTGCAGCTCTAGACATTTCTTGGCTATCCTAAGACATTGGCCTCTTGATATCATTTTGGCTTTTAACCATTTTTGTTTTCCCATCTGTATTTATCTAGCAATAGTAGAAACATATTTTGTAATTCTCCACTGACATAAAATATTACAACTACATGCCCCAAAACTGATTCTGCCACCTTTGCTATTATGACAACAGCAGCAACTGCAAAGTTTTAATCTGAAAATTTCTGTTTTATTATACTTATTTTTATTACAGTGGCATATGTGCTTTAGTTCTGAATATACTAGATGAGATTCAACTGCCGTTATATCTGATACTTACTGTCATAGTTAGTTATAAGAAGTTTCTTTCAACAGAGGAAACAGGAGAAGTGATTACAGCTCAATGCTCTAAAATCATCTGATAAAATTGTTTGATTTAGTGAGAAGCCTCTACTGTACAATATTTTATTTTAATAGTTTGTTTCTCACCCCCCAGGTTTAGATCCAGCTAAAGATCCATGCTTAAAGACAAAATGTAGTCGCCATAAAATATGTATTTCTCAAGATTCTCAGACTGCAGTCTGCATTAGTCACCGGAGACTTACGCACAGGTAAACATCGCTATATTGAATCCTACAGATGCAACAGTACTGCTTGTCACAAATCATAGCAAATAGAAGTATTTGTCAGTGTCTGCTAATCTTTATGCAGAGTGTTATTGAAAAAGATTGAGAAGATTGATTAATACAATGATAATTCACTAGGTTAAACATTATTATGAGTCAGAATTACCATGGATTACAGAATTTACACACATATTATTAAATAGTGCAGATTATGTGGAGAACTTATTATATATCTTGACATTTGTGAGTTTTCAAGTTTAAGGAATAATTACAATTTTTATACCCTCTAAATGTACTTGTTGTTACTCAAAAATCTCAGTTTTCCTCTGGGGATAGTTAGAACAAAAGTCAAAGAGGAAGCATTTAGTTTATGAATGTGTTAGTGTTTGTAAAAATAGATTCAAACTCACAAAATAAATATTTGGGGATAGAACTCTCAATGATCTTTAGGAAATGTTCCTTAAGAGGCACTCATACCAGTTGAGTCCTTGAAACTGTTGACAATTCGTTAGACCATGTCTCAAAATTAATATTTTTTAAAAAAAAAGATCGGATGTAGCTCAATGCAAAGATCCTAGGTCAGTCTTCAATACTGAAAGAATGAATGAATGAATGATAGTTAACAAAAATAACTAGATTATATATTGGGAGATAACATTGTATGTTGGAGTTAGTGTAGTAATATCAGAGGGGCTGAACTAACAAATTTGACTCATTTACCTTGTAATCTTGGATTTCTAATTTTTTACTATATGCCAGATGTTATGGCATGCATCTAGGTGTCCACCAAAGTCTCCTGCAGTCATAGGTAAAGATTGTTGGAGGCCGCTAGATCCATTATGTGTGATGCTGGGATCGAGGATCTGAGGCTCATATTGATTCATGGTGTAATGCTAGGTTTAAGGCTGCCTTTCCCTTTGTATGAGTTCTAATCACCTAAGGTTGAGTACCCTATATCCTACATAAGTGATGGAAAGAGGATATTGCTTTTCACTTGCTGCCTGCTGCTTTGCTTCTTCACTACATTGCTGCTTTCTTCCCACCATGAACTTTTTATTCTCTGCAATGCCACCCTGCCTTGGAGCCAACCATGAAGTGAGACTTCTAGGAACTGTGAGCTAAATAAACTGTTTCTCTTTTAACTTTGGGTATTGAGTATTTTGTCTCATCAAGGAGAAAAGTAATTGATTCACTGCATTGGTAATAATGTATCTTCAAATCTTCTTCAATTGACTCAAAGGTTTAGAAATGTAGAATCAGTATCTGAGACTCAGATACAGTGCATCTTTTCTTTGAGGAATATAATAAATACCTGCAGTTTGTACATTTAGTATTGAAACTACTGAGAATAGTTTCATCAAGGGTCAGTCCAGCTCATTTATTCTTTTCTGTCTGCCTTGTGCATATTGTTGAAAGAAGATGGGAAGCAAGCAACAAATGTTTTAAAATAGATTTATTGGAAGAAAGATCAAGTGCATGGTTTAGAGAAAAAAAAGAAAAGGAAGATATAAAAATATCAAATAGATGAGGATTTCATTACAAGTTTTAAAAAACTGCTAGATCTTGACTTAGAGTTGTTAATGATTGAAATAATGGGTAATTTTCCCTTTAGTTGTTTAATTAAAATGTTTCGTCCTCCAAAATCACAGAAATCATATGATCATGTAGCTCATTACATGTTTGAACTTAGCTTTGACTAAGGATGGTCTGAACTGTCCCAAAATGTCATTGTCAAAGTAATATATTTGAATATTGTCTCCTAATGGATTTCTCTGTGTCTCAAAGCAGCCAAATACTGTGTTCTCCTGGTAATATTTTCTTAACATTGTTATTACTATAAGAAAGCAACTAGTCTTAGGAATAATGAGAAAGAACTTTAACTGGAGCACGTTTCTAATATGGTACATATAACCAATTCCATTATGGTTATATGGTAATATATCCAATTACATTTATATTTTAATATAAAATCTTCCATGGCTTTTCCGGATTTTGAATATGATACATTTTTTTTATATTGTTATCTTGGGAAAAGATGTTGATACTTGAGTGTTGTTTTTTGTTGCTGTTGTCTTGTATTGTGAGCAAGAAACCCAATGTGTTAAGTTTCTTTACTGCCTGAACAGCTGCAGACAATTAACACTATTTCTAGATTAGAGTTTCTGTCACCAGTTGATGCTAATATTAAAAGAAAATGATTTTCATAATAAAAGAGAGTAAAGTTGAAGAAGTTGTTGTAGGACAAAACTCGTCATGTTAATTTGTGCTTTATTTGCATCAAAGGATGAAAAAATCACTAAGTAAATACTTTTGGCCTCCTAAAGAGATATTACAAAGAAAGTAATGAAAGTAATTTAAAGTACTATTTTTCAGAAATACATACGAAAAGAAGGCCAGTCTTAAAACTCTTCTAGTTTAACTTTGTACTTGTAAGATTTAGGATTATAATGATCATATTTGAAATAAAATCCACATCTATTTACATAGCTATTAATTATGTGATTGTGATACTTGCGTTTTCATTGTTCTCCTGTGGAAACAGTTAATTTGGGAAGATTCAATGACAGGATCTAAATTACAGTAATAGAGTCCCAAAATGTTTGTTGACCTGAACTGATCATAAAAATTTTAAAATAATGTTCCTTGTACTTACATAAGATTTAGCCTCTGTGGAATATGAACATACTGTAAATGTCCTCAGGGAAAGTGAAATCTACTTATTTCACACTTCATACTTGCAAAGCTCCTTCAAAGTGCCTCAAGTGAATAGACCTTTTATAACCCGAATGTTTTATACTCAGCATTATGAGGCTCATTTTACAGAAGCAGAAAGTGAAGTTCAGAGATTCTGTGTGTTCTTATTTTATTTTAATTAGAAAAAAGAGAAGGAAAATTTAAGATTTGAAGCCATGCCTAAATGTTTACATGTACAACTCATATTTGTAGTTATAAATGAATTTTAATTGTATATGTGACCAGATATAAGTACTTAAGTCTCCATAACTTGTAAAATTTAAGTTATAGAGGATTTTCAACACTGTTACAAAGAATTACAATTAAAAATGATCATAATTTTGGATAGTTTGTATAACATTTTTTGATCCCTGGTATTAAAATATATTATACTTAAATTTTGTCGTATTTTTATGTCTAGAACTTGTGTTTATATGGCCACATATACATGAACACAAATATGTATGCTTTATTAAACTTTACAAATATTTTCGATGAGTTACAGTTATTAGCCTGATTTTACCAATGATAAAAGCAGAGACAGAATTTACATAATTTATAAACGTGATAAATTTAGACAATGAGCCCAGTCATTGTAGTTCTATATTTTTTATTTTTACTCAAGTGTAAAATCTTTCAAAACACATAATACCTATAAATGATTAATTCATTGTATCTTGCAATGCTGTAGACTTTTAAAAAGATGTCTAAATTCTATTGCCTCATGTACAATTTGTGGGCATGTTTTAATCCCCATATTTTAGAGGAATGTACAATTTCTAGGTTTCTTTTGTTTTTCTGACATCAACATCAAAGGAGAAAAAATCATTAGTTACTTGACAATGGCTAATAAAAAGAAAATTGAATTTTCTGAAGATATCATTATAAGATGATTTGGTAAAGCTTTATTTTAGGCATTATACTTCAGAAAAACAAAAAAGTCTCAAATATTTAAAGATGTTATAATATTGACTCAATTTTTGAAATGTACAGTATGTCTTATCATTATTGTGTTAGATTTGTCTTTTTCAGTTTAAAATCAGTAATCCATACTTTAAGGTCTAACATCCTCCATTTGGTCCTATCTAGCATGGCACAGGCAGTTTTACAGCATTTGCTGAAGCTTTTCTGCTGGGTACAGCACAGCTTTATCCCAGCAAAGGACAATCTCAGGACACAAAGGTCGGAGGGAGAGTAACTTTATAGAGTAGGCCCAATTTCCTTTGTTTAATGGAGATAACATAACTGAAACACTCCGAGCTTCAATTTTTATCTTGATAAAGCAAATATCATTAAAACAACTTAAAGATTAACTTGTTAATAAAAAAGAAAATAGTACTAGACCCATAATAAGGATCATGTTAGGGTTCACAATTACTATTTTTCCCCTAAGTATGTTGTTCATTTTAAATTGTAGACTTTGATAAAATCTGTGTATTTTTTTCCTAGTGAAATGTTCTGCCCATTTATTCCCTTCATCTTTTGGGCAATAATTTATTCCAGAGAAATCTTCAAGTATACAATTAGTGATAGGTAACTTGAAGCTAGAAAGCTGGTTTTGAAGTTTAGTTTCAAATCTTAGTAGCAGAAAGACTTTTTGCAGCTTAAACACACTAGGAATAGTTTGTTTATAACAGAGAGATATTATGATAATTATACTAACGTCCTGTTTGGTGAGAATTAAAGAACATAATTTATGTAATGTACTTTTTACAAGGTAAGTAGTTGATAAACATTAATTATTGTATAATTACTATTCATCTTTCACACATCTCCAAGCTCAAGGAAGAGGTCAGTACTTCCATATCTTCATAAACAGAGTACATTAGAAACAATTTTTGTCCACTGAGGTCAGTACTTCCATATCTTTGTAACCAGAGCACATTAGAAACAATTTTTGTCCACTAATGTTATTAACATTTATTTATATATTCAATAGTGGGTTTTTGTATTGCAGTTGACACTGTGTTTGATAAAACTTGCTCATTCCTCTCAGGATGAGATGATAGAAGATGACATTTAAGATTACACTTTATGTAAAAAGAAAGATGTGATTTTGTTACTTGAAAATGGAGAAGATGAATACAATAAGTCCTGTTTGTGTTGATGAAAATTATGATAATTGCTTAAAGAGAAATACCTCCGATTGACTTCCAGAAACACGGCCAAGTTGTGAATAGCAGAAAAACAGTCTCCCTAAGATTTGGTGTCCAGATATTGGAATACAGCAACACGAGGAGAGGAAGGGAGGA